GGTGGGTGAATGGATGGGTGGGTGGGTGGACAGATGGGTGGAAGGATGGATGTGTGGATGAATATCTGGATGGGGGTAGAGGGCTCAATGGAAGCTGTGTGGATAGACACACAGTAAGCGAGTGATTTGGCAACAAGCCCAGCAGGCAAGATGTAAGGCTATTACTGGTATCTGCCAGGGGAAGGTTTGCATTCTGTCCTGAAACCACGTCCCCTTCCTTTGGAGTGAGCGCTTCCTGACTAGCCCTCACTTTAAGATCTGAGGCCCGAAGGACTCTGTAATTCCCTCCAGTGGGCTTTATGAAACTCTTCCTCATGAAAGTCCTGGCCTTTGAACTCAGCTCAGTTTCTTCTCTCTCCAGAGAATTTTCCTGAACTGAAGCTTGGCAATCACTGGTCCACACAGCAGAGCTCTGCTATTTAATCAGACCTTTGATTAACTTATTCATCTATTTTGGTTACCATCAAAGCAGGAGAGCTTGTGAAGACTGAATACCGGCGTGTTGGGTTAAGCCATCTAATTACACTGCCCCGACTCGGCTTTATTTTTAACACGCGTGTGAGCTGCTTGGATGCATGGCAAAACAGTAGGACTACAGGAATAAATTAATCTCAACATGCGCTCAGGCCTGAATGTCGCCCCAAGTCCCCGACTTAATACATAATCAATTAAGTCAGAGCGTTCAATTGGGAGCAAAAGAACATTCGGATGAGTTTGTATGCAGAAGGAAAACCCCAGGAAAGGGTAGAAAGCTGAGGAATCTGAGGGCACAGAACTTGTGGTGAGCAGCAGATATATTTATTATTCATGGTTTATTCTCTTAGAAGTAGCACGTAACGTGCCTTCATCCAAATCCTGCTCTCCCTGCAAGTCTCTTCTTAGAAGTCACCAGCTTTGGGGAGCCTCAGAGCATGCCCCCCAACCCACTGCCCCAGGCATGCGAGCCTCAGAGCAAGGGTTTCCCTGCCGCCAGCACAGATGCTCCCAGGCTTGTGTACTTTTCTCTGTTTCTCTCCTCCTCGCTGGGCCTCACTGACGCAGGGACGAGGCCATTTTTGCTGTGGTAAACACCTAGTTATTACTTCAAAAAAGGGTTTGATGAATGTGCTGTGGAGTTAGCGAGGCCTGGTTCAAATTCTACCTTTGACATTTTCCTCAACTAGCGATAGATGCATCCATCATTGCTGACATCCAGGTCAGAGAGGTACAGATAAAGGGTACAGGCTTCTTGAGCTCTACAACCTGGGCTTTAGAACCAGCTCCACTTCTAATAAGCTGTGTGACCCCAGGCAAGTTACTTAACCTCTCTGAGCCTTCGTTTTCTCATTTGCGAAGAATACTCGCTTCAGAAAATTTCTGGAAGGTGTGTGAAGTATCCAGCTTTGTGCTGGACACCAGCTGCAAACCCACCATCTCTTCTCCCAGTGAATGCCTGTCCGCATGATGAGAGCATGAGCTTGATAAGAACAAAAAAGTATGGTACTTCTGACAGTAAAGAGAAAGTCGGCAGTGGGGATTGTTTTTGGCAAGGGGATAAAGTCACCCATCAATTTCTCCCTTATTTCTACAGTAAAAATAAACAAAAGTACACACTGAGATCTACTGGGAGATTCCGAGTCTCCTGTTTGATGTCCAGGTTGCTCAGCCTTCCTT